TTTTAACATTTTTAAACTAGTTCATCTAAAATATATATATTTTTTCTTTTTTATATTTTTTCTTTATTCATTTTCTTTTTTTAATTGTTTTTTTTTTTTTTTTTCTTTCTGAACCTCTTTTTATCCCCTTTCTCCCCCCTCACGATTTGGAATCTCTTCTGATTTGGTTAAAGCATATTTTCCTGGGTTTGTTGCCACCCTTTTAGTATTTTACTTGCTCCTTCATATACTCTTATCTGGACAAAATGACAAGGCGGAAAAATTCACCACAAAAAAAGAACAAGAGGCAGTACCGAAGGCTAGGGACCTAATCAATACAGACATTGGTAATATGTCAGATCTAGAGTTCAGAATGACGATTCTCAAGGTTCTAGCCGGGCTCGAAAAAGGCATGGAAGATATTAGCGAAACCCTCTCAGGAGATATAAAAGCCCTTTCTGGAGAAATAAAAGAACTAAAATCTAACCAAGGTGAAATCAAAAAAGCTATTAATGAGGTGCAATCGAAAATGGAGGCTCTCACTGCTAGGATAAATGAGGCAGAAGAAAGAATTAGCGATATAGAAGACCAAATGACAGAGAATAAAGAAGCTGAGCAAAAGAGGGACAAACAGCTACTGGACCACGAGGGGCGAATTCGAGAGATAAGTGACACCATAAGATGAAACAACATTAGAATGATTGGGATTCCAGAAGAAGAAGAAAGAGAGAGGGGTGCAGAAGGTATATTGGAGAGAATGATGGGAGAGAATTTCCCCAATATGGCAAAGGGAACAAGCATCAAACTCCAGGAGGTGCAGAGAACCCCCCTCAAAATCAATAAGATTAGGTCCATACTCCGTCACCTAAGAGTAAAATTTACAAGTCTTAGTGACAAAGAGAAAATCCTGAAAGCAGCCCAGGAAAAGAAGTCTGTAACATACAATGGTAAAAATATTAGATTGGCAGCAGACTTATCCACAGAGACCTGGCAGGCCAGAAAGAACTGGCATGATATATTCAGAGCACTAAACGAGAAAAACATGCAGCCAAGAATACTATATCCAGCTAGGCTATCACTGAAAATAGAAGGAGAGATTAAATCTTCCAGGACAAACAAAAACTGAAAGAATTTGCAAACACCAAACCAGCTCTACAGGAAATATTGAAAGGGGTCCTCTAAGCAAAGAGAGAGCCTAAAAGTAGTCGATCAGAAAGGAACAGAGACAATATACAGTAACAGTCACCTTACAGGCAATACAATGGCACTAAATTCATATCTCTCAATAGTTACCCTGGATGTTAATGGGCTAAATGCCCCAATCAAAAGACACAGGGTATCAGAATGGATAAAAAAACAAAACCCATCTATATGTGGCCTACAAGAAACTCATTTTAAACCCGAAGACACCTCCAGATTTAAAGTGAGGGGTGGAAAACAATTTACCATGCTAATGGACATCAGAAGAAAGCAGGAGTGGCAATCCTTATATCAGATCAATTAGATTTTAAGCCAAAGACTATAGTAAGAGATGAGGAAGGACACTATATCATCCTCAAAGGATCTGTCCAACAAGAAGATCTAACAATTTTAAATATCTATGCCCCTAACGTGGGAGCAGCCAACTATATAAACCAATTAATAATGAAATCAAAGAAACATATCAACAATAATACAATAATAGTAGGGGACTTTAACACTCCCCTCACTGAAATGGACAGATCATCCAAGCAAAACATCAACAAGGAAATAAAGGCCTTAAATGACACACTGGACCAGATGGACATCACAGATATATTCAGAACATTTCATCCCAAAGCAACAGAAGACACATTCTTCTCTAGTAAACATGGAACATTCTCCAGAATAGATCACATCCTGGGTCCTAAATCAGGTCTCAACCGGTATCAAAAGATTGGGATCATTCCCTGCGTGTTTTCAGACCACAATGCTCTGAAGCTAGAACTCAATCACAAGAGGAAATTTGGAAAGAACCCAAATACATGGAGACTAAACAGCATCCTTCTAAAGAATGAATGGATCAACCAGGAAATTAAAGAAGAATTGAAAAAATTCATGGAAACAAATGATAATGAAAACACAACAGTTCAAAATCTGTGGGACACAACAAAGGCAGTCCTGAGAGGAAAATATATAGCGGTACAAGCCTTTCTCAAGAAACAAGAAAGGTCTCAGGTACACAACCTAACCCTACACCTAAAGAAGCTGGAGAAAGAACAAGAAAGAAACCATAAACCCAGCAGGAGAAGAGAAATCATTAAGATCAGAGCAGAAATCAATGAAATAGAAACCAAAAAAACAATAGAACAAATCAATGAAACTAGGAGCTGGTTCTTTGAAAGAATTAATAAGATTGATAAACCCCTGGCCAGACTTATCAAAAAGAAAAGAGAAAGGACCCAAATAAATAAAATCCTGAATGAAAGAGGAGAGATCACAACGAACACCAAAGAAATACAGACAATTGTAAGAACATACTATGAGCAACTCTACGCCAACAAATGTGACAATCTGGAAGAAATGGATGCATTCCTAGAGACATATAAACTACCACAACTGAACCAGGAAGAAATAGAAAGCCTGAACAGACCCATAACCAGTAAGGAGATTGAAACAGTCATCAAAAATCTCCAAACAAAAGCCCAGGGCCAGATGGCTTCCCGGGGGAATTCTACCAAATATTTAAAGAAGAACTAATTCCTATTCTCCTGAAACTGTTCCAAAAAATAGAAATGGAAGGAAAACTTCCAAACTCCTTTTATGAGGCCAGCATCACCTTGATCCCAAAACCAGACAAGGATTCCATCAAAAAAGAGAACTAAAGACCAATATCCTTGATGAACACAGATGCAAAAATTCTCACCAAAATACTAGCCAATAGGATTCAACAGTACATTAAAAGGTTTATTCACCACGACCAAGTGGGGTTTATTCCAGGGCTGCAAGGTTGGTTCAACATCCTCAAATCCATCAATGTGATAAAACACATTAATAAAAGAAAGAACTAGAACCATATGATACTCTCAATAGATGCTGAAAAAGCATTTGACAAAGTACAGCATCCCTTCCTGATCAAAACTCTTCAAAGTGTAGGGATACAGGGCACAACCTCAATATTATCAAAGCCATCTATGAAAAACCCACCTCAAATATCATTCTCAATGGAGCAAAATTGAAAGCTTTTCTGCTAAGTTCAGGAACACAGCAGGGATGTCCATTTTCACCACTGCTATTCAACATAGTACTAGAAGTCCTAGCCTCAGCAATCAGACAACAAAAGGAAATTAAAGGCATCTAAATTGGCAAAGAAGAAGTCAAACTATAACTCTTCGCAGATGATATGATACTGCATGTGGAAAACCCAAAAGACTCCACTCCAAAACTGCTAGAACTTGTACAGGAATTCAGTAAAGTGTCAGGATATAAAATCAATGCACAGAAATCAGTCGCATTTCTCTACACCAACAACAAGACAGAAGAAAGAGAAATTAAGGAGTCAATCCCATTTACAATTGCACCCAAAACTATAAGATACCTAGGAATAAACCTAACCAAAGAGCCTAAGAATCTATACTCAGAAAACTATAAAGTACTCATGAAAGAAATTGAGGAAGACACAAAGAAATGGAAAAATGTTCCATGCTCCTGGATTGGAAGAATAAATATTGTGAAAATGTCTATGCTACCTAAAGCAATCTACACATTTAATGCAATTCCTATCAAAGTACCATCCATTTTTTTCAAAGAAATGGAACAAATAATCCTAAAATTTATATGGAACCAGAAAAGACCACGAATAGCCAAAGGAATATTGAAAAAGAAAGCCAAAGTTGGTGGCATCACAATTCTGGACTTCAAGCTCTATTACAAAGCTGTCATCATCAAGACAGCATGGTACTGGCACAAAAACAGACACATAGATCAATGGAACAGAATAGAGAGCCCAGAAATAGACCCTCAACTCTATGGTTAACTAATCTTCGACAAAGCAGGAAAGAATGTCCAATGGAAAAAAGACAGCCTCTTCTATAAATGATATTGGGAAAATTGGACAGCCACATGCAGAAAAATGAAATTGGATCATTTCCTTTACACCACACATGAAAATAGACTCAAAATGGATGAAGGACCTCAATGTGAGAAAGGAATCCATCAAAATCCTTGAGGAGAACACAGGTAGCAACCTCTTCAACTTCAGCCGCAGCAACGTCTTCCTAGGAACATCGCCAAAGGCAAGGGAAGCAAGGGCAAAAATGAACTATTGGGATTTTATCAAGATCAAAAACTTTTGCACAGCAAAGGAAACAGTTAACAAAACCAAAAGACAACGGACAGAATGAGAGAAGATATTTGCAAATGACATAATCAGTTAAAGGGCTGGTGTCCAAAATCTATAAAGAACTTAGCAAACTCAGCACCCAAAGAACAAATAATCCAACCAAGAAATGGGCAGAAGACATGAACAGACATTTCTGCGAAGAAGACATCCAGATGGCCAACAGACACATGAAAAAGTGCTCCATATCACTCGGCATCAGGGAAATACAAATCAAAACCACAATGAGATATCACCTCACACCAGTCAGAATGGCTAAAATTAACAAGTCAGGAAACGACAGATGCTGGCGAGGATGCGGAGAAAGGGGAACCCTCCTACACTGTTGGTGGGAATGCAAGCTGGTGCAACTACTCTGGAAAACAGCATGAAGATTCCTCAAAATGTTGAAAATAGAACTACCCTATGACCCAGCAATTGCACTACTGGGTATTTACCCTAAAGATACAAACGTAGTGATCCGACGGGACACGTGCACCCGAATGTTTATAGCAACAATGTCTACAATAGCCAAACTATGGAAAGAACCTAGATGTCCATCAACAGATGAATGGATAAAGAAGATGTGGTATATATACACAATGGAATACTATGCAGCCATCAAAAGAAATGAAATCTTGCCATTTGCGATGACGTGGATGGAACTAGAGGGTATCATGCTTAGTGAAATAAGTCAATCGGAGAAAGACAACTATCATATGATCTCTCTGATATGAGGAAGTGGAGATGCAACATGGGGGGTTAAGGGGGTAGGAGAAGAATAAATGAAACAAGATGGGATTGGGAGGGAGACAAACCTTAAGTGACTTAATCTCACAAAACAAAGCGAGGGTTGCTGGGGGGAGGGGGGTTGGGAGAAGGGGGGTGGGGTTATGGACATTGGGGAGGGTATGTGCTATGGTGAGTGCTGTGAAGTGTGTAAACCTGGCGATTCACAGACCTGTACCCCTGGCGATAAAATGTATTATATGTTATAAAAAATAAAATTAAAAAAAGAAAGGAAAAAAAAAAAGTTTATCTAGAAATGTACCTGGCCATGAAATTGTTAATGCACAGGAAACACATAGTCCATTTTTCTAGATATTGCTAAATTGCTATTAAGAATGTATCTACGGAAGGGGAGCCTGGGTGGCTCAGTGGGTTAAAGCCTCTGCCTTCAGCTCGGGTCATGATCCCAGGGTTCTGGGATCGAGCCTTGCTTGGGTTCTCTTCTCAGCGGGGAGCCTGTTTCCTCCCTCTCTCTGCTTGCCTCTCTGCCTACTTGTGATCTCTGTCTTTCAAATAAATGAATAATATCTTAAAAAAAAAAAGAATGTATTTAAGGAAATAACTAACCCATGCAAATATTTTTTTTTTCCATAAGGATTTTACTGTAGTGCTTTTGTCACTATATTTATGTGACAAAAGGGAATGAGCTATACACCTTTTGGTATATGCCCCAAATAAAATCTTATTTATCCTTAAATAAGTATACGAACTTTCAATGTTATTTCACATGCTAAGCTCAAGATGATTGATATATTTTCAGGTGAAATAATCACCTTATAGTATACAGTATAACACATTTTTATTTAAAAAATATACATTCTTAGTTTGGCTATTGCAGACATTGCTGCTATAAACATTCAGGTGCACATGCCCCTTCAGATCACTACATTTCTCTCTTTAGGATAAATACCCAGTAGTGTGATTGCTGGGTCATAGGGTTGCTCTATTTTCAACTCTTTGAGGAACCTCCATACTATTTTAAGAGTGGCTGCATCAGCTTCTATTACCATGAATAGTGTGGAAGGGTTCCCCTTTCTCTGCATCCTCGCCAACATCTGTTGTTTCCTGACGTGTTAATTATAGCCATTCTGGCTGGTGTGAGGTGGTATCTCACTGTGGTTTTGATCTGTATTTCCCTGATGCCAAGGGATGTGGAGCCCTTTTTCATGTGTCTTTTGACCATTTAATGTTCTCTTTGCAGAAATGTCTGTTCATGTCTTCTGCCTTTTTCTTGATTGGATTATCTATTCTTTGGGTGTTGAGTTTGATAAGTTATTTATAGATTTTGGATATTAGCCCTTTATCTGATAGGTCATTTGCAAATATCTACTCCCATTATGTCAGTTGTTTTTGGTTTTGTTGACTGTTTCCTTTGCTGTGGAAAAGCATTTAATCTTGATGAAGTCCCAATAGTTCATTTTTGCCTTTGCTTCCCTTGCCTTTGACAATGTTTCTAGGAAGAAGTTGGTGTGGCTGAGGTTGAAGAGGTTGCTGTCTGTGTTCTCCTCAAGGATTTTGATGGATTCCTTTTTCACATTGAGGTCTTTCATCCATTTTGAGTCTATTTTTGTGTGTGGTATAAGTAAATTGTCCATACTGTCTTGATGATTACAGCTTTGTGATAGAGCTTGAAGTCTGGAATTGTGATGCCGCCAACTTTGGTTTTCTTTTTCAACATTTCTCTGGCTCTTCAGGGTCTTTTCTATTTTCATGTAAATTTTAGGATTATTTGTTCCATTTCTTTAAATATCATTGGTGGTATTTGATAAGGATTCCATTAAATGTGTAGATTTCTTTAGATAGCATAGACATTTTCACAATATTCATTCTTCCAATCCATGAGCATGGAATGTTTTTCCATTTCTTTGTGTCTTCCTCAACTTCTTTCATGAGTACTTTATAGTTTTCTGAGTACAGATTCTTGGCCTCTTTGGTTAGGTTTATTCCTAGGTATCTTATGGTTTTGGATGCAATTATAAATGGGATCGACTCCTTAATTTATCTTTCTTCTGTCTTGCTGTTGATGTATAGAAATGCAACGGATTTCTGTGCTTTGATTTTCTATCCTGACACTTTACTGAATTCCTGTAAGACCTCTAGGAGTTTTGGAATGGAGTTTTTTGGGTTTTATCATATCATGTGTAAAGAGTGAGAGTTTGGCTTCTTCTTTGCTGATTCGTATGCCTTTTCTTTTTGTTGTCTGATTGCTGAGGCTAGGACTTCTAATACATGTTAAATAGCAGTGGTGATAGTGGACAGCCCTGCTATATTCCTGAGCTTGGGGGAAAAGCTCTCAGTTTTTCCCCATTGAAAAACTGAAAGGATGCTGTACTTTGTCAAATGTTTTTTCAGCATTTATTGATATTATCATATGGTTCTTGTTCTTTCTTTTATTAATGTATTGTGTCACATTGATTGATTTGAGAGTGTTGAACCAACCTTGTAGCCCAAGAATAAATCCCACTTGGTCATGGTGAATAATTGTTTGAATGTACTGTTGGATCCTATTGGCTAGTATTTTGGTGTGAATTTTTGCATCCATGTTCATCAAGGATATTGGTTTGTAATTCTCCTTTTTGATGGGTCTTTGTCTGGTTTTGGGATCAAGGTAATACTGGCCTCATAAAATAAGTTTGGAAGTTTTCCTTCCATTTCTGTTTTTTTTTGGAACAGTTTCAGGAGAATAAGTATTAATTCTTCTTTAAATGTTTGGTAGAATTCCCCCTGGGAAGCTCTCTGGCCCTGGGCCCTCATTTGTTGGGAGATTTTTGATGACTGCTTTAATCTCCTTACTGGTTAATGAGTCTGTTCAGGTTTTCTATTTCTTCCTGGTTCAGTTTTGGCAGTTTATATGTCTCTAGGAATCCATTTCTTCCAGATTGTCAAATTTGTTTCCATATAGTTGCTTATAATATGTTTTTATAATTGTATTTCTTTGGTGTTGGTTGTGATCGCTCCTCTATCATTCATGTTTTTATTAATTAGGGTCCTTTCTCTACCACATCTTCTTTATCCATCCATCAACAGATGAATGGATAAAAAAGATGTGGTATATCTATCTATATATACAATGGACTACTCCACAGTCATCAAAAAAACCTGAAATCTTGCCATTTGCAACAACATGGATTGAACTAGAGGATATTATGCTAAGCAAAATAAATCAATCAGACAAAGATAGTTATCATATGATCTCTCTGACATGAGCAATTTGAGAAGCAGGGCAGGGGGTTATGGGGATAGGGAGGGAAAAAAATGAAAAAGAAGGGATTGGGAGGGAGACAACCCATAAGAGACTCTTAATCTCAGGAAAAAAAACTGACGGTTGCTGAGAGGTGGGGGGGGGATAGGGTGGTTGGGTATGGACATTGGGGAGGGTATGTGCTATGGTGAGTGCTGTGAATTGTATAAGATGATGATTCACAGACCTGTACCCCTGAAGCAAATAATACATTATATGTTAATTTTAAAAATATATCTCCACATTCACAGAAAAAGTGTTAATACAATATACATATATATTAAAATTCCACAGTGGCTGTGATTGCATAGTTGTAGTTGGATTACTGGTATGGATTTCTTTTTAAATCCTTTTAGTTATTTTTATTTTCTACCTTTCCATAATGAATATATTCTTTTTCTCATAATATGATAAAGTAAAAGTAATATTAATTTTTAACATTCAAATTTTGACTTCTGTAATTGGTGTCCTTTGAGTTTAGTTTAGGACAGTCATTCATTCACCAAACATTGAGTATATGCATCATGTGCGTTGGAATAACACTTCAGTGAAAAATAGGCAGATCTCTACCCTAGTGGAGTTTACCTTCCAGCTCACATTTCAGCCAGTTCCTCTGAGCAAGAACCACAGTGCACATTGCCCTAGCCTGGCATTCAGGGAGCCAGTAATGCCACCCACCTCCCCAGACCAGTGACCCCCTCCAAGCCCCTGAACCACCAAGAAAGCCCTGAAACCCAGTCCAGTCATTGGGATGGTTGTGCCTTCCAGTGAATATGGGCCTCTCTAGCTTCTTCTCTGCCCAAATCCAAGCTTCCAGGCTCCCTTCCCAGCTCATGGCCTGTGCCTTGTGCTTTTTCTAACAGAATCTGTGATGTTGTGATATAATAAGAAATTCTTTGGTCTTTGTCCTGGATTTCTGGCATAGAACTTCTAAAACCTTTGGAATTTCCAAGTGATCAGTATAAGAAGAAAGTCTTTTGTTATTCAATATAAGCTCCTTTCAAGGATACCGGGATTTATGTTAATGAAGTGAGTTCTGGTTGGCCTCTGATTAGCTTCAGGATGGGGGCTGGTGGTTACCAGAAAGATCAAGATATGATCAAAGTTAGAACTTTCAGTCCAACATTTGCCCTACAGAGAGGAGAGAGGATCTAGAGATTGAGTAAATCATCAATGCCAATGATTTAATCAATAATGCCTACATAATAGACTTGCCATAAAAACTCATAAATGATGGGGTTCAGGTTGCTTCCAGGTTGGGGGCACATCTAGGTGCAGGGAAAGTGATGCATCCAGAGACAGCAAGGGCTTTCCATGCCCCTTGCCCATACCTTGTCTTATGCATCTCTATTTGATCTTTAGTTGTGCCTTTCTAATACACCAGTAATAGCAAGCTCTTCTCCTGAGTTCTGTGAGAATTCTAGCAAATTCTCAAACCTGAGGAAACAGTCATGGGAATCTCCGACCTTATAGCCATCACTCAGCAGTTCAGGAGGTACAGACTTGGGAAACTGGAGGGGCAGTCCAGTGGGACTGAGCCCCTTAACCTGAGGTATCTGATGCTAAAGCAGAGGGTAGTTAGGGTCAGAATTGAGTGAAATCATGGAATAGCCAGATGGTGCCTGGACATTTGGGGAATTGATGGTTGGTGTGGAAAACACCACACATTTTGTGTCAGAGGCATTCTGAGGGTGGAAACAATTCATAGTGGTAGAACCACAACTGGAGTCTAAGCTGACCCAGGTGTGAGGGCCGTGCGAACACATGGGAACACGTGGACATGCAGATCTGTACCTAAGGGCTGGTAAAAGGTGCTCCTTCAACAATTAAAAAATTCTATTTTAAGCTTACCCTGCAAAACTGACAAGTCTCCCAAGACGATGCTACTGGTTCTTCACTGGCCTCTCAGAGGGCATGACTACTGTCTCTTTTCCTTTTGTTCCTTCTTTTCAGTCCTGCACACATTCCTCCTCAGTAAGTCTAAGGAAATATCCCAATGAAAATTTGTGACTATTTCTGTAACAGAAAGGGTTTTTTTTTTTTTTTTCCTACTGGCTTCTGATTGGTACAAAGACAAAGAGTAAAGATCATTCATCCAGTTGAAACTCATTGGATGCCCTTCTATGTTTGATTATTAGTTGGGGTTGTATTTTTCACAAAAGGATGATGGATGATATTTTATCAAAAGGTCATGTATCAGGCTTAAGAACGATGGGTCTCTAATCTTTACATTGGTCAGATTAAAAAATCACTGCAATAGTTCTGCTAACAGATGGCATTGTGTAATTTTGGTGGTGGTAGAAGGAATAAAGAAATTGGAATAAATCTTGTATCTTAGTAACAGATTATGTCCACTAAACTCCACAGAAACGAAACTAGATAAAAAACAAAACAAAACAAAAAAACTAAAAAACAAAAAACAGAAAACCTCACAGAACATTGTGCAAATAGACAGCTAAGAAAGCAAATCCTTTTCTGGTATCAGAGGTATATTTTTAGTCACATATTTTTATTTATGAATGCTTATGAATATAAATTTTCCCACAAATGGTAGGAGACCTTTATTTTAATAAAAATGTCCATATTTTTTATTAAAATAATAAATTCTGGCCCCGTTCTCCACCATTAGAAAACAGCTATATTGCTAAAAAACAGTCCATTTATTTATTTAGACATACTCTTATTGGACAACTTCAATATTTCCCACCATTGAGACCATGCATACTGCATTAACTGAGCCTCTCACTGGGTCTTGAAGGTTCTAGATCATTTTTATTTCATTCTTCTCCATAGTTGCATTTTCTAAACTTTTGCAAAGGACCTATATGCTTTTATAAGAAAATCAAAACAAGCAAAACAAAAGAAAAACAAATAAATACTAAGTTCAAGAGAGTGTGTATTTTTCAATACTCCATGTGTTTTAAAATCTCATGAGGCTCATGGAATTCAAACTCCACTAACAGCAATTTTATGTATAAAAGTCTCAGGACTGCTGAGGTGCTCTAAGGCTGAAAAAAGAGACTGTTAATCCCTTACATAGCATTTCCTTTATTGACGACATTTTCGAGTGATTCTAATTTCGTGGGTCTTTTTTTTCCCGGCGCTGAGCAGGAGTCAGAGGACTGGTAAGTCAGCTTGCTCCCTTAATCCACTCCATCACTGGCAAGAAACCTCCTCTTGTTTAGCAAAAGAGTGCCTCAGGTACACCCTTAAGAGGCTCTGGAAGTTATATTGGCTTCTAGACTATGGAGTTTTTAAGCGCTTCTTCAGCATTTATAAAGCCCCATTGCTTGAGGACCAGCTTTCCCTAAGTGTGTTCCCCTCTTTGCCTGAGATGAGCTAGTGGAATATTTTAATGAACGGTGGAAGCCATGGGAAATTCAAGGGAGAATACATCTATTTATACCTGTTTTCTTAAATGCCATCATTAGTAGTAAGTCTGGAGTTCTCCTTCTGTTTCTTTATTCTTCCAGGAAATGTCCTCCGCCCTGACTGTCCCATTATTTTCTAGCCATAAATCTCAGACTTAGTCTTATCTCCAGCTCTGGCACTGGTATTTGACATATATTTCATATTTCACCAGGTTGTCAAAATTGCCAGACCTCAGGATTAATTAAACCACCAAACTGAAATTAGATTTTTAAAGTCCCGATTGATACTGACTACTCACCCAAGACCCCTTTCTCTCTTCTTACATACAGATCCCTATTTCTCCCAGACTATGGAACATAAGCATCTCCTCATACTGACTTCATGTAATAAACGAGCCCTCAATTTAAGAATCATTAGTTGAGATCTTGCTGTCTGACTTCCTTTTAGCTCATGTTAATTTCTATCAGGTTTCTCAAGAATTTGCATTTTCTTACCCAATGAAAGAGTTTAAAACAGATTTGAAACAATGCATTCATGGGCCTGGATAAGCTTTCTAAAATTTTGAGCTGTTTCGTTTTAATCCCAGAATGGGGGTAATATGAATGGAGGGTACAGTGAGGTATTATGGGTAGGATTTTCCTAGAAAACTACTGAATGTAAAAATAGATCTTGGAGATATTAGGGTCCGTTTTCCTCACCTTACCCTAGAATGTATCTCAAGGTGTGGCATGGGCAGGAAGGTTTTATTGTGGGTCATACCCATGTCGAGGAGTTCCAAAGCCACCCTGATTTCAAAGTGTTGGCAGGGGTCACAAATGACTTAAAATAAAGGATTATTCTTTTGGGGGCAAACTACATTGCAGAGGGTGGCTGAAAATGGCCAGAGTGCTCTGATTAGTAGACTCCTCCATTTCAGCGGTGGAAGTAACAATACCTAGTATTTTCTTCAGGACTTACTATGGAAGTAACAATACCTAGTATTTTCTTCAAGGACTTACTATTCCAGACACTTCACATGTTGACTAACCCTGTAAGGTTGATAGCAGCCAGTTAGCACCTTTGATTTTAAGCATGAGGATAATGAAGTCAAAGAAATATAATGTGGCTAAAGTAAGGGGATTTAGAGACAGAGGCTGAACCATACACTAAATTTCCTAAACTGTATTCCATGCCATTTTTACTAAACCATGCAATGATTATATTTTGAGTCCCCTGCAACAGGGACACTTTTTGCATGAAGTCCAGGTAAGTGACATTATTTTTTAGGTGTTCGTTTTATTTGGATGCTCATAATGGATTAGGAACTTCCCAGAGGCAAGATGTACCCAAACCTAATAAAAATGGGGGGAAAATAGAAGTCACTGAACTAAGCTGACTGCTTGGGTTAATGCTTTTGAATATTTTTCTCCTATCACACACACATTGCTCCGCTTATCCAGGCTAAATCCACTCCTTTATGTTTCCCAGACATGTGAGCTTGTTAATCAAACCATCCAAGATTTTGGCTGATCTATGTATTGCCCTCTTTTTTTTTTTTTTTTTTAATCTCAGCTATATGGTTTTTACAACATAGAGATTTTTATGTTTGTTCTCATTTATCTCAAAAAACTTCTTGAAAGTCTTCAGACTATAAACTGTATCTCGTAATAAATGTCTAAGAAAGTAGCACATCCAAGCATTTTATTTTAGGTACCCTGTCGTTGTTCTGCATAACTTATTGCAAAAAAAGGAAATAACAGTCTGTTTGGGTCCAGGAGTGAACATAGCTCCAAGAGAGCACCATGTATTAAAGGTTTTATATATTCATGATTTGGGGTTTATGTTATGATTTTAAATCTCACAACGTCTAGCAATCATGTAACCTTTGTGTGTGTGTGTGTGTGTGTGTGTGTGTGTATGTGTGTGAGTGTGTGTGTGCGCAAAGTAATAAGATGTCTTTTGGAGAAAGTGTGCAGACTGCACTTGTCAAGTATGTATTTTATATCAGTCTTTTGTAATAGAGAGGCCTGATTCAGGTTTGCTTATGAGTGACTAAAAAATGTGGAATGAAGTCGGTTTCATAATCACATGACTAGAGAGATAACTTCCGGAACTTTTATTTAGTGGGTTTTGGAAACAATGCTTAGAAAAAGAGGTAGACACAAAACTTAAAATGATGATTCATACATACAAAAATGATGTAAGATATACAAGTTCTCCTGATGATATTGTCAAAAGTACTCACCTTCAAGTAGTTCATACAGAGCTAAAAGAGAGTAATTAATGTGGAAATAATATAAAAATAAGAGACAATGTTTATTATCTAAAATAGATACAGAAAAGGATTATGAAACAAATAATGCCTGGGCAATTAATTAAATATTTAGGTCCACCTTTTAGAGCATACACTAAACCACCGAAACAAACTTTTATGTCATTAAAAAGTAAAATACATTACTAATAATCTGTATACAAAAGTTAAGCATAATTTTTCATGAATGTCTTATGTCTCGCTGGGGACTAGATGGGGACAACTTAAAGTTAATAAAAAAAAATAAAGATAATTTGATTGAACTGCACAAAACGAATAAGCATTCCATATGACAATAATAATGAGCTAGTAATTATTGGGCACTTACTGTCAGGTAATTGTTCTGAATGTATTACATGAATTAACTCTTAATTATCAGAACAGTCCAATGAAAGAGATTTCACTGGATCCCATTGTATAGATCAGCAAACTAAGGTACAGAGAAGTTAAACCACTAGCTCAAAAGTAACATGACCAGAACTTGTTGAACAGAAGATCTTAATCTTAATTTAAATTTATCATTCTTTCTTCATGAGTGTCTTATATCAAGCTGGTGTTTTTTGAGTCTTGTCTAAAAAATGTTGCCCTCCCCCAAGTCAACAAGATATCTTCCAACAAATCTAAACATTTCAAAGTTTTATATTTGTCACTTAAATCCAAATCCATTTGGACCATATGGGAAGACATAGGATCTTATTTTATTTTAAAAATGTGTGTAGTTATTTATCTAGCACCATTTATTGAAAAAGTTCTCATTTTCTGACTATTCTGTCCTGTATCCCTATCATGAATCATATTTCTATATATTCACGAGTCTATTTTTAGGTTGCCTCTTATATTGGTAAATTTGTCTAACTGCAGTACTGCTACATTGTCTTAATTATTTGAGCTTCAAAACAAGTGTTGATTTCTAATAAAAATTATCCTTGTTCTAAATATTTAGGCTCTTCTTTGCTCTTTATTCTTCCACATATGTTTAATAACATGTTTCTCAAGTGCCATGAAAAACTCTGTTGGAATTTCTATTAAATGGCTTTGTATCTATAGAGCAATTTTCAGAGAACAGATACCTTTTGAGTGGATATTCTTTTCACTCATCAGATTATCAAACAGTTTTAAATATGAGATAATCTGATCTGAAGGATAGAAAGTGAAATGTTTACTGTCATACCCAGCTTGAGAGAGTTTTAACTGTAGGTGTAATGTTTTGAAAGACAATTTGATAAATGGTGTGAAGCGCTTTAAAGATTATAACTTTAATCTAATAATTAAAATTTTACAAATCTGTATGTCAAAGAATTTGAGAAAGCCATGGTTTTATATTCAATTCAATTATTAATAATTGAAATTATAAATAATCTAAATTTCCAACAGTAGGAATATAATTAATTAATTATGATGCATCCATTTATGGCATAACATGGAGTCTTTTTGAAGGATTTTTAAAAATATATCAGAAAACTCATGATATAATGTTAGGTGCAAGAAAGCATGACACAAAATTGTGTATGCTGTATGATCTTAACCTTTTAAAAATTCATAGGAGAAAGACTAGAAAAAATATACTTAAATGTCATCAGTGATTTCCTTTGGATAATAAAATTATGGGTGATTATTTTTCTATTTCTTCTACTTTGCTGTTTTTCTAAAAGTTACTTCTGAAAAAGTATCATAGATGATTTTTCATTCAAGAAAAGCAAAGGAAAACTTTTCTCAGTGGCCACTTTTATTTTGATAATATAAAATTCTACATGGAATGAGTGAAAATTTTATCTAACTGTACAGTTACTATCTGGTACCAGCCACTCTATAAGAGTCATGGTTCAGAGTTGACCATGTCCCTGACAGGTACCTGGCCTTTCTTTTTGATGTGCCTCTGCAGTAGCTCAGAAGGAAACTCATTTCTATGAAGGTACCTTTTTATGCCTCATCAATATTCCACTGCCCCATTTTTTCCAAGATAAAATTCCTCAGGGTAAAAAAGTCCAAGGCTTTGAATGGCATTCAAGTGTCAGAAAATGTTTCATTTAGAAATCAGACTTGTAGATCTCAGGCTGCAGGAGCTCCGATGTATGATGAATTTTAAGCTTAAGCTCTGTGGAGAACCCAAGAGAGAGGAGTGCATGTATCTTTGAAGTTTCTGTGCCCGTGACATTACGCGGATAATCAAGAACGCATGCTCAGACATTCATATTTGCTACCTAGTGAAGCGATTGCTACACACTGCCTTTTCGTAAAGCCACTCCGTTGAGCTGTGTTGGCCATAGGGTGAAAACTGGTTAGATGAAAGTCCTGAAGATGCTGCTTTAAACACAACAGAAGCAACACAATTTCCATGCATCAGGCACATAAAACCATTCCAGGGACCTTAAAGTACAGAATGATCTGCAGCCGTGCCCACATGGGTGGGATGTGCTAGTGTTGGATGAGCAAGCTAACTGTGAAGGAAGGTCACAGAGGTTGAAAACCCTGAAAGATTCAATCTCCATGTTGTTGAACAAATGGTGTGAAAGCAATGATTGCCTTGGTTCTACTTCATTTAAAAAATATTTCCTTATTTAATGAATAAAGGGTGGACTCACCTTTGTTTATTAGCAGTAACGATGTGCTCTATTAGTTTTATTGCCGCTAATGACAGTAATGCTGGGACTCTGGTGAACGCCAGCCTGTTTGTAATGTCAGGAAGTAGGTGCAAATAATGCAGGTGACACGGGGCTTCGTTACACCTGACCCATGCCTAACTTTCTGATTTTACATTCCACACAGCAGAGGCATTTTAAGAGCACAAAGTAAAAACGGGAGACCAAGGGACCCTGCAGTACACCACAGACGTCCTTTCTTTGAAAGAATCTATTTAAAATGGTACTTTCACTAGTAAAAGGATATAGAGCTGCCCAGTCGTCTTGGTCCACCAGGGTCCCTCCTTTAGCAGTTGTGAAGTCTCAAAGCTGGGATAGTTTTTACCCTCTTCATTCTGAACGTCTGATGTCTCCTTAAGAGGAAGGTTTATAACCCAGGCTGGATTGGATTCTCAAGTGTTTTGCTTCTGTGAAATGACTTCTGGGCTCTCTTATGGAATCTACATCAAATTTATCTGCCAAGGGACCATGCAGCCATCTGTAAACTGAGCATGCATTGGAGATGCGACCAGCAGATTATAGTCATTGTACATTTCCTGTGCTAAGCTAGTACACGACTTTCTTTTTATAGCAAACAGAGCCCCTCACTGGAAATCCTCTGTGTGGTTGGGAGAACAGTGGATGGAAGGGCTAAGCAGCTTCCAAGCCAGAATCTTCTTTCATCTCAGAACTATATAACAAATCACACTCCTATTCTTTCTAGGATACACATGTGAAAATCTAAGTGGAAAGTCAAAAGAAAAATAACCACAGTGAGAAAAAAGATTATCCTTACAATGGTTCCTGGCTCACAGCAGTGGATGATTTTACTATTTATTTATGCCCTGCCTGATTCCAGAAAGAATTTATGGAGAAGAACTTTCTTCTACCCTTCTGCCCTGCCGCATCAAGTTTCATTTTGGAGTTAAACAATACTACTATCTTCCGGCTATGGCCAAAATCAGAGGTTCTGTCCACGTGTGAAGCAGTAACTTCTGGGCATCCTCAATGTCTACTGCAGGCAGGTGTCCCGTGAATGCACATGGCGGAACCTAAGCCTGACCACATAGGTGAGAATGGGTATGTCAGATCATTCTATTGTCACCACCTCTCTGAGATGATTTCTTCTAGTACAGGTGAGGAATTGTTGGCACTTTCCTCATTTCTACAAAAATGGAAAATATCAGAGTTTCCTCCAAGTATTCTCTCAATAGGCAATGAGCATTAATCATTTCAGCAAATCACTAGATTTCAGTGTGGCAGAGAATATCGTTAAGACCTCTGGCATAATTTATTAGCAATTATGAGTGTCAAAGCCCAGCATACCTGCATAGACTTTAATGATTGTTTATAAATTTGGCAATTCATCATTCCATTTTATTCTTATGGTTCAGACAAAGAGCCCTAAGGTGACAAAAAAATAATTGAAATACCACGTAAAGTGAAAATAGTGAAGAAAACATCGTCAAAATCATCGTCATAATCGCTG